CAAGAAGTATACACGGTAATAGTAACATTTTATATTAAGTTTCGATATATATACAAGAAGTTGCTGAAAAGTTTTCGTTCCTAATTATCCCTAAAATAGATATGATCAAATATCCAAATATAAGAATTAAGTTTTGGAAGGGCTTCTTGCTTTAAACAAAATTTCTGTAGATAATTATTATGAAATATAAATCCAAATATATATTCTGAAATTCTAACAATTTTTTTCTACATTAGGAATAATGTTTTTGTTTTAATTATCTTTAACATTTAATAGGAGTTGATAGATTTGTCTACCATCCGGTTCACACTCCTCCTCGTTTTTCTTGAGCAGGAGTAGTGGTTTATCCTTTGTTTCCTGTTTAGGATTGGGTTTCCGGGTCCATCTTTAGGTTTTTGATTGCTTTTCACTCCTAGTCGCCCAGTGCGTCTTAGTGGCATTATCGCCTTGCTTGGGTTGTAACGTGTTGTTAAAAAGAAACACGAGTGCGCATCCAAATCGATAAATCCTCATCCCAGAAATTCACGCAAAAATAAAATATAAAATAATAAAATATAAAATTTAATCTAAAATAATATATAAAATGTAAACGATGTAAAAACATATAAAATATGAAAACTATAATAGAGATATAATATAGAAATATACATTTTTAAAGGTCGGATTAAAAATAAATCCATCAATTTTTTAGAATATGTAAAATTTAATGTAAATGAATAAATAATTATAATATAAAAATAATAATAAAAAATAATTATTGCTGCCGCATCTGGTCTGATGCTCCTGATATATAATTATAGGATCATTGATAAAATCCAAAGAATTATCTGCAATATTATTGGTCTTGACCAAGCATCACGACTTCAGCCACTTTTCCACCGCCGTAATGTGGCTTCCTTCTGCCTTTTCTATAAATACTTTCATGATAACTCTTATGATAAACTTTCCTCCATGGTATAAAAATTGTATTCATTGTAAATATTCATTAAGTTTTCATGTTGTTATTTACAGATGAATTGTACTTATGGGAACTACTTAGGACTACATAGAGACTCTGAGGTATTGTGGTGACTGGGGTAAGAATGGTATGTAAGAATGTTTTGTTTTGGTGCAAGGAATACTGTAATATGTGTGGGTCATTAATTCTGGCTAAGTTTAAGATAAGACAGATTGAAGACCAGCCTTCCTCTATCCTACTCACTTGACCTTGTGTCACATTTTTGTATTAATAAATAAATAAATATTACTTTCCTTAGTGATACATAGAATTTATGAAATTAGAGGCAGTACTATATTGACGGGAAGGTGTCATCCTTTAACAACTGAAATTGTTACATGTGACAGTATGTTTTATGCTAACAGTTTCTTCTCTTGCATTTCCAGTTTTCCAGTCAACTTTTATCTTCGTAAATTTAAATGCAATGTCAATCATTATCTTATGTCATTAAGATGACAGAAGATAACGATTGAAATTCCTATTTCTTTATTGTTCTTCCTTCTTATATTCTTTCACTAACCTCTTGCGTTTTAGTGGCTTTATTGCCTTGCTTGGGTGAAATGATAAAGAAAATAATATATAAAATTATATAAAAATTAAAATATTAAAAATGATATAAAATATAAAACAGTTTAGTCGATCAGTTTCTGATATTGTGATTACGATAGAACTAACAGAATAATTCATATTATAACATACTGATATGACATACCGTCGTCCATGTTCCCATAAAAAGTGCGCTAGTTATTTGAGAACACGTCATTAGCAGGCTATAAATGGAAGATGAGCTTCAGTCATGTTAAACGACATACCAGCGACTGCGCTACAAGTTGAGCGTTTTTCCCGCTCACTTACAGTTTGTCGGATCTCAGAATTAAACAAAATAAACTTGTCTTATTTTGCCTTCATTCAATGATAATGCCCTGAAATGAAATCATTACTATCATCATTTTTTAAATAAATCATAATCACTGTGATTTTTTTTCGGAAACATTAACTACTAAGACCTTTATATACACTTCAGTTTCATATAGACGGGGTAGATAGAATGAACAGTGATCGCTGGAATTAAAAAAAAACTGCCTATTTGATAAAAGGTTCGCTTGGAATAAGGATGACTCAGGTTGATTTTTTTCCAAAAAGAATAATCGTTCTGGTAAGTCTAACTGAAACTCAAATGGTGGTTTTAAAAACGTAAAAAGCCTCTACAGCTTATTCCAGAATATAAGTACTGGACAACAAATGGTTTCTTAATTTTAACGACTCCAAAACAAAACTGCTCTCTATAAATCATCTGACAGAATGGCTGATGCTAATCTCCAGGAAAGTGACACATTACGCCTTCTCAGGATAACATTCTCCACTGAGATGAAGTGGAAAGATCATATTGAAGCTTAGTCTGATGCTAGGAAATTTCATTCACTGTATCGTGACAGATAATTTTTCTCTTCCAAATCTATTTTACAATATTTATAAGTCTACCATTTGTCTTTGCTTCAAATATTACTACCACATATAGTCCGCTACACCTGCTATATATTTAGAGATTCTTGATAAAAAACAAAGATGAATCAGCAATGTTATTGATCCTAATCCGTCTTCCAGATTGAAGTCACTTTGTTATCGCCTTAATGTAGCTTCCCTGTGTCTTTTCTATAAATATTGTCATGGTAATTGCTCTGTTGAACTTTCCACTGTGATATCTAGATTTATGAATTTAAGTGCAATACTAAATTGGCAGCTAAGTCTCATCATTTTACAGTTGAAAGGGCTATGTGTAACCGTAAGTTCTATGCTAACAGTTTCCTCTATCGTAATTCTCGCTTGTAGAAATCTCTCTCGGCTTCTTGCTTCCCAGTCAACTTTGATCTTCAAAAATTTAAATGCAATGCCAATTGTTATCTACTGTCTTCTTAATCCCTCTTCTTTTATTGTTGTCGCTCCTCAATAATGATTCTCTTTTTCTTATTCTTTCACACTTAGTAATCCATTGCGTTTTAGTGACTTTATTGCCTTGCTCGGGGTGAAATGATTTTTTAAAAAATCTAGCAAGGTGTGGCTATAGCTCTTTTTTTTTGTTAAAGTTCACCCAGCACAATCAAGAGCCACTCATGCCAGAGGATTACAGAATTATGTGTATTATATGAATATAAAAGGAGATCAAAAGAAGTGAAGCTTATTAGGTTAGGGAGGATAGATAGTGATTGACCCTAGACTTGATGAGGTTAAGCTCGTAGTATTCAGGGAAGAACACACTCGGGAGTTCTCGGAAAAACGATGTGGATTTTCCTCCTTAACATTGAAATACGGGGGAAATGTTGATAGTTCGACTCCGTGTATGCAGCATGGTGAATTCTAGCTATAAAGATCTGAACTAGTGAAATGCACCATGAAACCACAGGGTATGAGACGTGTATCCAGTAGCTTTATCTCTTAAGATTCGGACCCACTTATAATGTTATGGCAGGCTAAAATAAAGCTTAGTAAATATCTCTATTAATACAAAGGGTTTGGTTTTGTCTTGAAGTTCATTTTACACTGGCTTTGAGACGTAGCTAAGCATAGTAATTATTCATATGTTACGTATCTTGGAATGACAGTAATTTTCTCTCATAGACAATTGACGTGTGTCATGAATTTGATTCTAACTAGATGTCTATGTAACCCTGTGTCAGTTGACGTTAACTTTAGTAATATAAAGGGTGTCTGGAATGAAGTAAGTTTTTTTTAGCTACTCTCATCTGCCACTACTCATGCTGCAGGTTCGATCCTCATCAGATACATTTGTACCAGTGTTTCTCAAGCTTTTTAAGCAACGGCTCACCTAGGAGCAAATGAAAATATCACGGCACACTTAGTAAAATCTTTAAAGGGTATACACTTAAATGTTACGAAATAAAACCACAGATTTTGTTTAAAAATTTAAACACACAAATATGAACTTAGTTTAGTTCAATGTTTCTGTTTAACTATTTGTGCAGCTTACAAAACTTGTACCAGGTGTTTTTTCGGGATTTCTTCGATGTTTGGTCGAATGTGCGATAAGCAGCTCCCCCATTCCTTCTTCAGTTGAGCGTATCTATTCTCGCTTCTAATTTTTGACGCTATTTCGGCCTAATTCATATAAATAAGAAATAGAAAATTGCAATAAAACTGATAAAGCCTTTTTATCTAATGTGGGATATTCTTTTTGTATTTAAATCCAAAATGTATTAATGGGTATCGTCGAATGTTTTATTTTGAATCCTTGATCACTAGAAATGGTGGCCAATTCTTCTTCAACAAATAGCTGAAGTCGAATATTAGAAGGAACATTTCTGAAGGGATTTCGAATCCAATCATACTTTTCTGTGTTCAATGACGGAAAATAATAGTCGATGTGCTTTCAGATGGGTCGCCATAATAGGGATCATTTCTTTAAATGCAGGTGGTACGTATTGAAGAATAGTGAAAAGAATTATTTGAAAAGAAGATAAATACTTATTCATTTATTCAAATACTAACGCTGTCCATTAAAACTTACACACACACACGCGTATATATATATGCCGTGACAATATTTCGCGGCACACTTAAGAGGATCGCGTGGCACGATCGTGTGCCACGGCACGGCCGTTAAGAATCACTTCCTTATACAATGGAATTTTATTTTATTCAGTTAAAAAAATTAATAGCAGGAAACGTTTTAAATGTGAAAAATCTATTTAGGATTTTAAGAATAATTTTTAACATTTTACTATAAGGATGCGTGTAATTTAGACGCGTTTAAATCATCCATTTGCAAACAAGCACATTTCTCTATTTCCTTCCCTCTATCTCCCCTTCTCTTTCTATTTCTCCCTCCCCTACTCTCACATTCGCTTTTCTGTTCCTGAAATAAAATAATTTTAAATTTCCACCACCCATCATTTTAGAGCCATACAAATCCCATCATCTCTGTCTTTTTTAAACCTCGTTTTACAAACATGCACTCGCTTTAAATAACACTTGCACATTCGTATTTATGCCTGTAAATAGTCGAAACTCCAGTGGGGAGCGGCGTGTGAGTTACTGGGGTGGTGGTGCGGTTGAATACAAAGTCCTTCTCGCCAACGTGTTCTTCCCACCGCCATTAATGTTGGTTGGTTCCACAGCTGCGCTGACGACGTTGGAGGCGAAGGCTGAAGCGTGCGAGCAGCGGCGGTGTCGACAGAATGCAGAAAGAGAAGCCGTAAAAAAAAAAAAAGATGAAACTATTTCTGAGGTTGGCACCGGCCAAGCAGTAAATGGAATGAAGCCCCATCAGTGTCCGTGTGCGCCCGCTATGGCTTCCAAAGAGGACCATCTCACATAGAGGCGTGCCTCCGGTTTCTGCAGAGTTCATAATATCGAATATCGGAGTACAAAGACTTCCAGGATGGGCCGAAGAGAGAGGCGGGGAGGGAGAGAGGGAGGAGGGGGAGCGGGAGAGGAAGATTGAATTCGAAAGGGAAGGTGTGTGAGGGGGTGGGGCGGAGGGAAGTAGCAGGAGAAAAGAGAAAGAAGCATGAGAAATGAGAGAGAAGGTAGATGTTCAATACAATGCGTGTATGTGCGTGTGTATGTGTACGTATATGCGTCTGTAGCAGTTTCTCTCTCTCTCTCTTTCTGTCTATATGTATGGATGTTACCGTGCGATTTGTATTTAAATTCGAACTGAGTCTAGAAGGGGAAGAAATGTTTATATGCATCTCTGCTTCATCACACACACACACACACACTCTTTCTGTGTCTCTCTGTCTGCCTCTCTCTTTCTTTCTCTTTCTCTCTCTCTCTCTCTATATATATATATATATATATATATATGTATGTTATATTTAGGCAGCAAGAATTCATCCAGTTTTCTTAATTTAAACCAAAATGTCTGCTTGTTTAATTTTCTAATTGTATTTTAGTAATTTTCTATTAAGATGTTGTATATCACAAACCTAATTGCGGTTAAACTGGCCGAACTTCATGTTTATTCTGTTTTATTCAAGTATTTGCAGCTGTACAGTCACTGTCAAGAACAGGTGATAAAATATATATATATATATATATATATATATATATATATATTTAACTGTATATTTTTGTTTTTTTATTAATTTTATTATTATTATTATTATTATAAAAATAATTTTTATTATTATTATGATGATCATTTTTTATTATTACTTATTATATTTTTGTTATTATAGATATATATGTGTATATATATTTATGTTTTTAAAATAATATATATTTTCTTATCAGTATCTATGTGTATTTTTTATATTATGAGATGATGTTTATATTATATTATGACGATGCTGTCTAAACAGACACCATTTTAACCCCTTTCTCTGTGAATTTTATTTGACACATTGTTGTAACTCTGTTTTGAATTTAACCTTCCTATCTCTTCACCTTCCCTTACTCGTTATATTATTTTTTTTTTCTTTCTGTCCTCTCTTCATAATATAAGCTCACAAAGAAAACTTTTCTAGGCCTGTTTATTTTTGGTATTGTTTCCTTCTTGTATTTTTTATCTTCGTATATCTGTCTGTCTCGGATATCTTGATTCCATTTCATAAAATGTAGTCGGTCTGATGAGATGAATATGCTTATATTCTTCGAAATAAATTTATGGATTTCTAAGGTTTTCCTCATTATTGTATATATATATATATATATATATATATATATATATATATATATATAACGAAATGGACTAAATCCGACAATTATTTTAATATATTTTATTGTTATACGTTATTTATATTTACACAAATATATAGTACATGATCTGTTTATAATAAATAATATTAACAACATTTACCGGCCTGAAGGCCCCAGAAATTTCATAGAAAATACGCATCCTCTGACAGGAATCGAACCTGTATCCTACACGGAACCGTCATATAGCCTGACGTGCCATATCAGTTTAGCTACGAAGGCGCATCTGGTTAGCAAGGTCGATTTGAAGGAAGTTTGTAGTTTAAAAGCAGTAAAATCGATCTTACTAACCACACGCTCCTTCGTAACTAAACTGGTGTAACATGTCAGGCTATATGACGATTTCGTCTAGAATACAGGTTCGATTCCTGTCGGAGCACGCATATTTTCTTGGACGTTCAAGCCGGTAAATTTTGTTAATACCTGTTTATTATAAACAGAGCATTTACTTAAATATTTGTGTGTGTGTGTGTTTGTGTGTGTGTCTGTGTGTGTGTGTGTGTGTATATATATATATATATATATATATATAAGTGAACATAGAAGTCAAAACTTACGTGGCCTGACGATTGCATTTAGCATGAAACAGACTGTCGCCTCTAAGTGTTGACTTCTATGTTCACTTTTGTATTTACACACCCTCTCACTTTATCCCATAAATATAGCACATCTTAAGACTATATTTCTTATATATATATATATATATATATATATATATATATATATATATAATAAAACATATATATTTTAAATTGGATATATTTTAGCAGCATGACTTCATTAAGACATGGTCTCATTAAATAATTTAGACAAGTTTTGTTTACTTATTTTTTAATAGGATCCTCTCATAATTACGGACAAGTTTTTTTTATTATCCTTATTAAAGAAAGAAAGAAAATTACCATGTTGATGCATATTCATTTTATTCCGAATACTTTCGACATTACCACAATATTGTCATCAGAGTGTTGCTTTTTCTAAAACAAAAACTTATTGTGTTTGGCATTTTTCTAAGGTAAAATTGTCTCTAACAGTTAAAAATTGTACAGTACATAACCTCCTAAGCGTTTCTCACTTCACACATAAAAATTTAATTTTCAGATGAATACAACAATTTTGTTTCTTTTGAAAGCCTGTCCCATAATAAAACGAAAGTTTCGTTTAGTTATCATTGGTTTGGTAACCTCGTACTGGGTATGACGATAAACTATATCGGGCAGCAAGGGAGATTTTGCGAAGCGTGGAACCACCTCTTAATTACTATTACTTCCAGGTTCACCCTGACCCGGGGTGATAGCACCTGTTAGTGGGGGAGGGGTCCCATCTATAGGCTAATACTGAACCCACAAATAAAAATCAACAGTACATTTTTACAGTAAAATTACCAGCAATATATTTTATGATCTACAAAATATATATCTAAAAAACATGTTTTTACTCTGAAAGTATAAAATTATGTACAAAATATCTGTTGTTGAAAGCACAAGATTACATCCAAAATATTTAGATTTCAGCATTAAATAGCCGGGGAGGGGGGTAATATTCTGCCAAATAAAATCAACCAATGAAATAACCAACAGGAAAGAAATCTTTCGTGATATTAGTCTATATGATATCCTACAATTTCTTTAAAAAATTCAACTCTATCCCAAAATATAACTTCAACAAAACTGCAACATATAACACACCACCTCTAATAATCCCTGTCCATACAAACAAGCAGAATAATGTATATCATATGTATATTACTTCAAAGCTGCCAAGAAAATTAAATGACCCACAAGGAGTTGAAATGCTGTTAAACAAACAAATCAATCGATCAATCAAAGTTTCAAACTGATGAATTTCTGGAATCAATCACTATTGACAAATTTGAATTTCTAGTTTTCTGAGTTTTTTTCATCTAATTTACTAATTTAATTTTTCTCTTGAAAAAAAACTTTGTTCTTGTTCCTACATTTTGCATTTTTGCATCGTCTTTCTGTCAGAAAGGAGAATTACTAAAACTAATATTGGCATGAAATAGATGTGCACTCATTTGTTTTATACAAAAATCGAAAGGTCATCTTAATAGGATCCTATTGACATTTCTTCTTCTTCATTAATTCTTCTGAATCATATATTCATTCACATCAGTTCAAAATATTTAGATTTCAGATTTGAATAGCCCATGGTGGTTGATGTGCTACTAAATAAAGCCAAACAATCAAAATAAAAGAAATCTTTTGTGATATTAGTCTATATGATATCCTACAATTTCTTTAAAAAATTCAACTGTATCCCAAAATATAACTTCAACAAAACTGCAACATATAACACACCACCTCTAGTAATCCTGTCCATACAAACATACATATGCATAAAAGCTGAGTGTCATCTACCATGTATCCAATTGTGAAAGCAGAATAATGTATATCATATTTTTATTATTTCAAAGCTGCCAAAAAGATTAAATTTCGACATTAAATGACCCATAATGTGTTGACATACGGTTAAACAAACAATCAATCAATCAATGACTTGCATACCCTATTTCAAAAACGTTTAAGCTATACAAAAATTCAAACAAAACCTGAAAGAGGAGACTTGGATAATACAAATAATATATAAATGTATGTTTCTTATTTCTATAAAGGTCATATTTTGTGGGTTCAACTGTAAACGTCGCTTTAAAAAAAAACAGTGTCACTCTATCAGTTATGTGCCATACGTAATACACGCTTAGGCGATCATGTATCTTTTGATATATGACTGACGAGGCAGATTTTTCCCCGTAGTAGGTTGCCATTTCTGTCTGCGGTAGACAAGTTGCTATCCAAGGTCTGTCCTGCTATTTACCCATAGCTGGGGGAGGGGAGAAGAGGAGGATTCATACCTTTCCCAAGGGTATTAGCACGGAAGTGAATGTAATGGATTCGACCGGATTTCGAACTCGACTCTCCGATTTCTCACTCCGAGCCGCTATCCATTACTCCACTACAAACCTAGAGATCGAAATTCTTAAAAAAGTTATTCTTGATAGGAATCGAACCGGTATTCCGTTTTTAATCAGAGAAACTACCTTTAAGCCAAGAGTTCTTTCCCATTAAGCTACAGGAAGCCATTGCGTCAAACAAAGTTTCAATTAGCTTACATAGGAAAGTGAGCCTTTCTTTACTGTTTCTCAGATTAAAAAGAGAATACGAGCAGGTACATTTTTTTTATGAAGACTTTCGTTCATTATGCAGCTGGAAATTAAAACGTACACTCAAATACATGTTATCTCGAGATATAACGTTTATAGCAATAAGAACTAATGATTGCTCATATTTTTAGACTAGTAGCATGGCCCGGCGTTGCCCGTGCTTAATTCAAATTCAAATTCGAATCGCGTGTGTGTGTGTAACGAATGCACGGTCGCAATTTTCGACGGATTTGCACCAAAATTTACATGCACATGCTCCAAATTAGCGGAAAGGCCAAGGCCAACTTTGCATTTCCCAACTCCCATCGATAGTGGAAATAATCGATTTTTTCATGCTTCTACGGCAGTTTTCATGTAGTTTGCGGCCATTTTCTACTGGCCAGAGTGAGAGCCAATAACTGGCTGCCACGAATAGGCAGGAAGATTATATTGGCCAGCGTGTCAGCCAACAGCTGACTGACACGAATGTTAACTAGCATGCTAGCATGCAAAAAAATCGATAGCTGCATTCGTCACAAGTGGGAAAAATTTAAATCTCCATGGCACTTTACTCCAATTGGCTCATTCGCTTGCTTAAACTCAACGTTGATTCTGATTCCGCAGAACTGGGTTGGGTGTGAAAAAGTATTTGTTGTTAACATTCTTTTTTCATTCGGTTTTTCCAGTTACGAGTCCTTTTTTAAAGCTGATCGTTTTGTGTTCACTTTGTTTAGTTCTTTTTTTTTGTAACAGATTTAATGTTTAGTATAGAGCTTAGAAAAAATTCGCAGTGTGAGATAGGCAAGAAGTAAGGCATGTAGCAACATCAGCACGGCAAAGGGCACGCCTCTAAAGGCAAGGAAGGGCAAAAATATTTTAAGTCAAGTGATAGCGATTGCTGTATGAGTGGTACGATTTTTGAATCAAGCACGGGCAACGCCGCGCCATGCTGCTAGTCATGTTATATATGTCTCCTTCCTATTTAATCTACCGAAGCCAATACACGTGGAAGTGTTTACCCCTAATATTTTAAATATATTTTTCTGTCTTCATTCAACGCTGGTTTGTTAATTAGCGACTTTCTATAATAATAACGCCCTCAGTAATTTTTATAACGTTTAGAAAAAGCATTTTCATTATTAAACGTATATTTATAATTTTTTTATGAGTAGTTGCTTCATGCCGTCATGAGGATAAAAAAAACGCAATTGCTGCCAGCCTTAGACGATTTGGGCATTGACAAAATTAGGAAATAGCACCGTATTTTGCTGCTCATAAGATGTGACCCGCTGCATTAAAAGCTCCAGTTATCAAAAGATATCGGAATAAATGTTTCCCTGTACTACATAACCCTCTCCCTACTATCCCTAATTTTACCCATTGAATAGCATATTTCAGCATGAAAACCTGATTAATCCTTGACCGAGAAGTTTATGGTAACTATTTTAAATGTAGTAATTAGAAGAGAATCTGTAGTGAATAAGGCAATAGAAACCTAACCTTATTGCATCCTGAAGTTCTCATTAATCGTGACGAATTCATCACAAACCAGAATGGAGCAATAATTTTAAATTAGATACAGTGCTCAGAATCAGATGCAACTGGGGATGTGCTGATACTCACCCCAAAGCCCAAATTTATAGCTCCCGTCACCTATCTTCGATTTATACATTATGTGATGTCAACGAATACTCGTTGCCACTTTTGTGATGTCAACGAATACTCGTTGTCACTTTCGTAATACTCGTTGTAGTAGAGACTTTGTAATCGCCGATACAACTATAGTAACGCCGTTGAACAATACTGGTGTCAGACGCCTTTGAATAACACTTGCACTAATAGTACTTGCTCGATAATACTCGCTCGAATAGTAACTACCGTATAGTAATCTCTGTAGTGATTAGTATAGAGAAATAGTATAGTGAATAAAGTAGAGAATAGCGATCCGTATAGTATTAGAGGATAGAGTAGAAATCGAGATCAATTAGACGTCACGCAACTTCCTACTTTGCGTTTCTTCTATGGTCACGTGGTCTACTTAATTCAATAATGGGATCGCCTGTGTTTGTTCACTGGCGAACTATGTTCAAACAAATGGAAAATGCGTCTTATAAGCAGCAAAATACGGTATATTGAAGGTAGAAGCGTAGTAATTAATTTATCATTTACACATAAATTTACGCATAATTAAATTATAATACATGACCCAGAAAATAAACTACAGGAGACCCTAGAGAAAGTAGTAAAGGAAAATGATGAGAAATGCCTAAACATCAATTGTAAGAAGAGAGAATGTATGTTTGTCTTATTATTCCCGTCACCTACCTTAGGGTGGTGTTTGGAGATATTTTATAAGAAAAGAAAATACGTCTTACAGCCAGCAAAATAGGTAAATGATAGTGGTGATATACAGGAAGACCTTAGTAGATCCATTTTCCTAGCGCTGCTTACAAAAGTGTGTTTCAGCGGCCTAATGAGCCACATAACTAAGCTTATAATGCGGATTCTTATAAATCGAAGAATTAGACCGGAAAGATAATGGAACAAGAAATGCAATATTTATGATCAGAATTGTATCAAAGCTATCAATACAAACACGAAAGGTCGTATGCTTGTTTCATTGACTATGCAATAGCATTTGATAAGGCATATCACAAAGACATATTTTTTGAAATGCTAGGAAAACTTGACTAATTTGGGAAATATATGAGACTTCGCCTGCATACTGATGGAAAATGAATTGTTCAAATACACAAAAATAGAAACGGGCGTAAGACAAATGATGTGTCTTCTCATCTGATTTAACAGCGAGGCAATCCCAAGAGAACTAGAAAACCTACAAGGAAACAATTATGACACCATAAGATACAAGATGACATTGTGATAACAGACTCAAAAAGAGCTCCCAAATAAGGTAAAAAAAAAAAAGTAAAAAGGACTAACTATTAATTGTAAAAAGACAAAACGTATGGTTGTCATCAAGATGAACGACGCAAATTGTGATCTACGAATTGGAGACGTCAGAATCCATTACGCACAGAAGTTTAAATATCTAGATAGTGCCGTGACAGATGCTGAAAAATGTGACTCAGAGGTCCGAAGGTGCAGTGGAGGCGAAGAAATTTTTCCCGTTGCTAATCAAATTACTATGACATAGAAAGACTTCGTCTGAAACAAAAAAAAAAAAACACTGAACTGCTATGTAATATCCATCTTCCTTTATGACAGTGACTGCAAGATAATTCTCCTACAAATGTTAGTGAGTCTTGAAGCGACAGATGTGGAAGAATCACATCTGTTACTTCAAGTCTCACTAACGTTTGTTTGCGAAAGTAATAAGAATACTGTAGACAGAACATGTAAGCAACGAGGAAGTTTTAAGGACGATGGGAAATAAAAGCACACTAATATTTACAATTAGAAAGAGAGTTCTAATTTCTGAGACCCATAATGAGGGAGGAGGGCATCTAGAATTCAACGCTCAAAGGTCATATAAAGGGCAAGAAAGACAAAAGGAAAACAGCCAACCTACTTAGCGAATTTATGTAAATGAACTTCAGATTAGGTAATAGGAGGATGATAAGAGCATAAGTGTTGTTTAGATCAACAAAAGAACAGGAAGCTGTGGTGAGCCATGATCGCATACGTCCTGAGAGGGGCACGGTGAATAAAAGGATTTTTTTTGTTACTATTTATTACAACTTTTTTTTTTTTTAGAGGATCTATTCTTCTGTAGATATTAATTTAAAAGTTATGTATCAGAAAAATTATTTCATTTATCGAGTGCAAAATAAATCAAATGGTAATATTTTGATAAAAAGTAACCAAAACGGAAAAATTAATCCTTTTCTTTAAATACAAATCTGTAACTACGCAAGTTAACTATTTATAATTAATGTTCTTGTAAAATCCTAATTTTCTTTTCTTATTTGTAATCATTTGCATATTTTTAAAATGTTTTGTTTATTTTCAAAACCATATTTAGTGTTTGATTTCGTATTTTTTTTAAATTAATTTCTTTGGAGCTGTGTTATCAGTTCCACACCATGACAGGTAATTAGCACATTTGGGGGCTTGATTAACAAAATTAATCAATATTATATTATATGCTTACAAATTATTGCCGACAATATTATAAATTAGAATAAAAAAACTCTATCTGTAACTGTTAAGGTTTGATCCTTTTTTTCATTGCTAAGAGCCACGTCATGTAATTCTTTCCCAACTAAAACATAACATAAAAAAGTTATCGAATATCGATCAGCTGCCAAAGTGTAGAAAGCTTTGATCTTTCTTTGAATTTTACTAGCTTCATTTTGGTTCAACGGGTTTCAATGGCCTCCTTTAGATTCTCAAGTTTCTTCATACGATTTCCTTTTAGACTTAGGCCACTTGCAACTGCTTCTTTGTCTTTCATTCTTTTTTCCATTAAGGATTTCGTCTTATCTTCTTTGTTTTCCTTTTTTTTTTGTCATCTCTTTCTTCTTTCTCTCTTTCTTTTCGTCTTTCATTCCTTTCTTTCGTTCATCCTTTCTTTTCTACATCCACTTTTCTTTACTTGCTTCCGTCCTACCATTTTTCCTTACTTCCTTTTTTAGTTAATTTTTCTTCCTCTTCTTTTTCTTCTTTTCTTTGTTCGTCTTTCTTTCATCTTTTCATCTTATGCGTCTTCTCCCTATTCATTATTTCCTCCTTTCATCTTTTTTGTAATTGCTTCCTTTTTTTCTTTTCTTCCTTTCGTCTTTTTATTCATCTTTCCTTCCTTCCTTAATTCCAACCATCTTCCCTTCTTTTCTTTCATCTTTTCGTTCTTCGTTTACTCTCCTTTTCACCTGAATTCCTTCCTTTCTATTTTTCCTTCTTTTCTTTATACCGTTTATTTCCTTTCTTTCTTTCTTTCTTTCATTTTTGGTCTTCCCTTATTATATGAATTTCTTTCATTATTCCTTTCTCTTCTCTTCTTTATAATGTTTTAGTCTTTCTATTAATCGTTCAGTCCTTCTTTCCCCACTCCTCTACTTACGCTTTCTTTCTTTCTTTCTTTCTTTCTTTCTTTCTTTCTTTCTTTCTTTTCATTCCCTTTCATCTTTTCGCCCTTTCCTCTTCCCTATCCCTTTTTTTGTCTTCCCTTCCTTCCTCCGCCTTTTTATCTCCCTTTTCAGAATCTCATTCACCAAATCGTATATAATTCCGTTCCACTTTTCTCAACTTGCCGTCATCACCCTTTTTTTCTCCTCCCTTGATAAACATGAACCACATTGTCGTCTTCCCGGCATATCCTTTACTGTGCCTCAAGGCTAAGTCTTGGCATCTTCAGTCAAAGAGAGGTCAACATAAGCCGCTCATATGACTACCATTCAAGAGATCACTCGCCATTTTTTTAAACTTGCCTCACTTGACGGAGTTGAGGGCAGCAATTTCTTTAATATTCATCTTTCGTTTCAGATGCGAACTTCTAAAACGCAACACTACCAATATATCGAAGATGTTGATAGCGTGTGGCCCAAATATGAAAATGCGCATAACCAAAGCTGACAATACAATTCATGACCAACTATTCAATAATTCTACTTGTTCCTTCGTTCCTTATTTTTACGAATTGGCAATATCGAATAAATAAATGAACTATTCCGTTTCGATTGTGAGGAAAGACGGAAAAGACATATCAGAGACGCTGTTTGGTTTCAGTGAGAAAGAAAGAAAGAAAAATAGAATAGGCGATAAAGGTATGCTGAACCTTATGATAGCTTACCTGTCCTCTGTTAACAGAACATCGTTCTGGGTATGAACATAAACTGATTTCGTCAGCAAGGCCTCTGATCAGGAGGTTATGAGGAGCGTGGAATTACCTCTTAATTGCTGTTGTCCCCGTGTCCACCCTGACCAGAGGTGCTAGCACCTGTTAGAGTCCCAGTTATGGGCAAATAGTTAACCCCAAAACTGGAGTCAAAATACTATGAAATTGTAGATACATATATATATATAAATATATATACATATATATATATATATTTAGTTAATTCATCGAGTCTGATAGAAACCTCTACAGAATGCAGGAAGCACTGGACGGCCGTTTTGTCCTATATTTGGGACTCATCAGCAGTGCGCATCCACTACCGAGTATCGGAACCCTGCCAGTTGGGTTGTCAAGCGAACATCATACAAACTGTTCCAAATGGGCCTCGGTGACGTAGAGATTCCAAATCAGACTCAACTAAGCGCCGCTCGCTCACATATTCCGTGGCGGAACTCAACTGAGTTCTCTGTAACCATAGGACTGTGCCCTGGGAGCCACGACTACTCTCACCAAGCCGCTACCAACTGGAGCATTAGAAGCCGGTTCAAGCATATATATATATATATATATATATATATATATATATATATATATATATATATATATATATATAGTGAAGGTGCAAGTAATACATTTTCATAGTAAAAAAAAAGTATATATATATATATATATACCAGCAGTACATTTTTCTAAGATAAAAAAATATTACCATCAATATATTTTTGTAAAAGAAATCACTAACGTTCCCAAGAAAATTACATTTTGGCATTAAATGACCCGTAAAGTGTTGATATGCCGTTAAACAAAAAAAAACAAAACAAAAAAAACAAAAAAAAAACAACACAAAAGCTAAGAAAACGGAAGAAAAGATATATCAAAGTTGTTGTTTAGTTTTAGGGAAAGATAGATATGAGAAGGCGATGATGCTCTCATGTGTTTAACGTATGCTTCAGTGAAATAGAAAACCATGTCAATTTCAAATCTTTTCATTTGTATCCTCTTACTTCTTTAAATAATGACCTGCATTCATGTTTATGGGTGTTATGATTTTGTGAAAGTTGTTTAGTTCAAATATTTACCGATAAGATTGAGAAATGAGTATTTTACAGTCGGGGAACTCACAAGGAGTTCTTTTTAATTATTAATTAAGAATTATGATTTATCAGAAAATTTAAATGCGAAAACCGAGCGATTTTTACGGGTACTATTAACACTGTTAGTTTACATAAAACAGACATTTCTTTAAAAGTTCACTTTATACTATTTCGCTTCTACAAAAGACCTACGGGTTTATTTTTCTGTGCGAAAAGGCGTAAAGCGAAAAAGAAGTTAATACCTTAACCCTAAAAATAAAAATTCTATGTCGAAGATCTAGGTACGTTGTCTGTTGTTGCTGATGTGTAAATTATTTGATTCTTTAGCGGCATATCAACTCCTTATGGGTCATTTAATGTCGAAATTTCATTTTCTTTTACAAAAAAGTATTGCTGGTAATTTTTATGTCAAGAATATATTGCTGTTTTTTTTTTTTTGAAAATGTATTGTTGGAAATATTTTTTGTTTTTCAAAAATGTACTTATGGCAATTCTTTTACTATAAAAATGTATTTTTATACTTTCATAGTTTGACCCTAATTTGGATTTGAACTATTTGCCCATAGATGGGACCCTAACAGGTGCTACCATCCCGGGTCAGGATGGACGTTGGAACAGCAGCAATTAAGAGGTGGTTCCACGCTCCTCAAAACATCCCAATCTTGCTGCCGGATGTAGTTTATTGTCATACCCAGGATGAGCTGGTGTGTAATGCGTGGATGGGGAGAGTATGGTTGACTACAACAGTTTCATTTTTCTACCAAAATTCTTTGTAGGAAATCTAACTATCCAGCAAAATTACCGTAACCTTTTCATATTTGCAGTCACACTTTCCTGCAATCATCTCAAAGCTAGTAAAAATTTGATGGTCATATTATGGGTCTTGTAACACTTTTAAAAACTTTCCCATAGAAATTAATAGTCAATGCATCTTCGTTTTACCCCATTTCGGATTTCGAAAGCTTCAGGAGAACGCTCTTCTTTCGAATAGCGGGGGAAAACCTGAGCCAGAATTCAAACGTAAACATTGTCTCGTGTCGTAGATTTCAGTCACGTGATGTCCTAAGACGAACGCAAAAAATAAAATTAATAAATAATTAAGCTGATCTCATTGGAAGTTTATTCTGTATTTCGGTATCATGCGATTTAACGGTCGTAGAATTTCAAACGACCTGAGCGTTACGATAAAAACAACAACAACAACAACAACAAAAACAAGCAAAACAAAATGAAAGAAAACTAGTAAAAAGTCAAACATAGAGGGTGCGATGGTTAAATTGTCGCCATTATATATATTTTTTTCATTTCGTGCTCATTGTTTGTTTAGGATAGTAGGATCCGTTGGGCACAGTCTGTGAGAAAAGGAGCACCATAATGAGGTAGTGATGCCCTGGGTCAAGAGGTTGGCTGCTGGAACACCCTATGTCTGGCAACAGGACTCTGCAACATGTCACTCAAGCAGGAGAAACCAGTCATGGCTGTCAAACAATTTCTGTGATCATATCACCAATTACATCTAATTCCCACCTAACTCCCCCAAACTGCAACCCCCTTGATTATTATATGCGATGTGCAATTGAGCGTGAAATTAACAAAACTCCTTGCAAAGCCAAGGATGAAATGAAGGCAAGGCTTATGGCCGCATTCATCAATGTAAACGAGGAGACTATCCAGAAGTGTTGCAGGAGATTCCGAAGTCAATGGCGAGTTTATTGAATAAATTTTACTCTTTTGTGTTTCAAGATATTTTTGTGTAATTTTGGTAAATATACCTGTTAAAATGAAATGTCAGTGTTATTTTTCATTTCCGTGTAATTTAGACGACAATTTATCCACCACACCCTGTATATATATATATATATATATATATATATATATATATATATATATATATATATATATATATATATATGGCGACAATTGACTATAAAGCCGTAGACGTCCAGCAGCTAAAATGTGATATTTGCAATAAGACAAGCGGGTTCAGAAGCGATATTTTAAATTGCATTGAAGTCAACACTCAGAGGTGACAGGCTGTTTCATGCTAGACGCAATCGTCAGCCTCTGAATGTTGACTTTAATGTTGACTTTTTTATTTACATACGTTCTATCTCTGATATTGAGCACTTTATCCCATAAATATAGCACACCTTAAAACTATACATACATACATACATACATACATATATATATATATATATATATATATATATATTTAAGTAGTCAATATTCTTTACAGTAAATACTATTATCACCACCGCACCCCGTATTTCAGGATAATTACCTGTTACACACGAACGCATGTTTTGTATTTGTTATATTTTCTCGTCTGAAGTTAATGTCCAAATGTATCTTGTTAATATTATCTGGACAGGACACAGCACATACTAACCAAATTAGAAGGCCAATATTTTTGAAGATATTGTGATGTATCGACGGATATTTGTCTTATCTGATGAATTTTAAGAAAAACCGAAATATACATGTATAATTATACTGGTACATTTGTTTGCATTTTGAATTTGCCGTTTATCTAATGCTAAAAAAAATTGTCATCCCCGATCAGTAAGGCCCATGGGGTTTCAAATGTGTATTAGTTTTGAGCTCTAGTGGGCAGTCTTTCACTTATTACCCGCTATTCATGACGGAGTTTGGGTCATTATCCGATGCACGAGGTGTTTCCAAAAATGGGGAACTGCAGAGACGGGTTTGAATAATTTAATACTAAAAAAATAAGTATCATCACCGATCCAGGAGGACCCGTGGGTATGAAATGAATATCTGTTTTGAGCTTTAGAGGGTAGTCCCCCCAGGTATTAGCCCTTCATCAGGACGGAGTTTGGGTCATTACCTGGTGCATGAAGTGTTCCCAGAATGAGGAAGTGCCGAGGAGGCTTGAGCATTTTTTTTTTACGGCTACCCAATCTTACTTTAAATTTCATCCTTGTATTTCTATGCAAGTGGAGGCATGGACAAATACTTATTGGTGTGCTCTGGGTACTAGGGATGTGGCATGGGTGCTACAAAAAATACGGATCGATATTATTATCTTCCGCCTTCACTGTATGTACTAATGTCTAATCTATGTTACAATGGAGAGCAAATTCATTTCGCAAGCCATTGTTAGTGATTCCGATTCAATATTTAAATTAATATAATCGAGATGCCAGTCTAATGTCTCCAATTCGAAGCCCACTTCTTTTGGTTGACTCTCTTCACTGACAGCCGTACGCTATATCTCATTATATTTAGTGGTTGGTCTTTTCTTTTCGCGTTCTTTTTGCTACCGCCTCTAGGAGCTTTTATAAATTTCATTCTGTGTCCTCCATTAGGACAGTGTCATCTGCGCGTCTTTTTTTGTTAAGCTTATGACTGCCAGTAATCAATCTTAGGGCATCTTTTAGTTCTCG